CCTGTTTTGGAAGAACCCAAAATTTTTAAAAAACCCAAAAAAAAAAAAAAAAAAAAAAAAAAACTGTGGAGTTCTCACCAGTTACTTGAAATCCCCTAAAGGTCAGGTTCTAAAACCGTGGAAAAAGTGAGTCATTTCTTTTCCTACTTGCCAGGTATTTTAGACGATCAAGTGAAATTTGAGCTTTACTTCAATGAAACAAACATGGATATTTTAAGGTTGTTTTGTGCAGTATGGACTTTGTAGTGCAGGAAGGCAATCTGCAGTCGGGACCAGATACAAACATGATATTGTTTTCCCTCGCTGTCTGTAACTAAACAGGAAGGGCTTAGTCTGATTTAATGTCGAAGTGACTCAAGTGCAACAAAGTCAGAAGTCTCAGATCTCAGAAAATTTACAAGCAGAGTTGAAAAGTTGTGTGAGAGCAAAGGGCCCGGGCCCTTCAAATCTGACTCAGTTCTGGTCCAATTCAACCTGAACCTAAAGTGGCCTGACTAAGGTCCACTCTGCATGGTTCTAGTTGCTTTCCATTATGACAGTGCTGCGCAACAAGCACAGAAATATTTGCACATCATTATTACACTATGGTGTCAGTTTTAGTGTTACTTTTCTTTAAGCTCCAAATATACTAAATCCCTGTCGTGACCGCAGACCAACCAGTCTAACCAATCAGTGATCGGCGGTCTTCTGATGTCCTGTTTTGAGCCCAACTTGGCAAAATTCCAGCAAACTGTTGAGAAACTTGTGAAAGGAAAACCGTTGGGAAGTCGGTGGATTTAAACTGCAATTCCACCAACTTCTAAAATGAATGTAAATGTTTGGCATTTAAGTTTTAGAAACTCTCTATAGTGAAACCCTGTCACTAGTAATGACCTAAAGCAGGTAAGGTGTGCTAATGTCAAACAGTGAGAGAAGAAATAGACCTTTTTTTGTGCAGTTTTTGGTAATGATGTTTGTACATGTCATGCTTCATGTGTTGGGCGTCCCGCGCTTCGATGTTTCATTAAACCCTTTTCTGTTGTTCTTCCATGCAGGGCCAAGTATTTTCGGGGAAAGAAGCTGAACGGAGAATATGAGATTCGAGTTGAGCAGGTAGAGTAAATTTCATATGAACTAGTCTGCAGGCAACATGTTCGTTAAAGAATTAAACAATTTGTGTTCATCCATTTGAACTGTTTTACTTGAATACTTAACTTTGGAAACAACACTTTAGAAAAAATAATTAAAAAAAAACTCAACTTCTTCCCAGGTATTTAACAGCAAGATGTTTGCTACTGTTAGTGTACATAACTGAGAAGTAGAAAACATGTTATGTCTCCATCATTTGTACATCTAGAAACTAAAATTCATAATAAACAGTTTAAACTCTGTCAGACTGAATGGAAAATGTAAGTGAAGGCCAATTTCTACTCTGACCTTCCCATTCTAATACATCAACATACTTTTATCTACACCGTTCCATTGTAACACCACCTGCATGGTTTGGGCTACTGTTCTGCTCGAAGGTGAACCTTCACTCCATTCTCAAATCTTCTGCAGCCTCCAACAGTTTCTTCTCTAGGATTCTCTGTCTGTCTTCATCCATAAGCCTTACCTGCTAGCTTGACTCCCAAATGAGAATTTCTCCCCGATTCTCAAAGCTGAGATCACCTCGTCGGCCGTCCACTGCAGCTCCTGATAAGTTCTCCACCAACTTCACTTACCGACTAGAAGTATCCAGTTTTTCACATCAAAGTGATGCTTCCTCAGATGTTGATCTAAACGCTGTAAAACAAATTCCATCTAAACAAACAGTATTTGAAACTGAATCCACAGGAACATGTTTATATGTCTAGACTTGCAGCATCGTCAGTGTGAGCAGCATCAGCTCTACCCCGGAGGATTGTTGGCCTACCCATTGTTGGGACTGTAACTGTCTTTGAAACATGCTGGTGGAGTGTTTACGGGGGAAGAAGAAAAGAACCGCAGAAAGCTGGACGGGTGATTTCTTTATTTTTTTTATTGGCCATTTGCTCAGTTCTCCACTGTTGTGGTCACATCTTTAGACGCGGACGACTTGAGAGACTTTTCTATGAAATCAGAGTCGTCTTACTTTGAATATCCATAGAGCTGTGGTTATTAAGCTGAGTGAAGACTTGACAGAATTATTTGGGCCTGTTAAGTCGATAATTTGGGGACCAAACGAGCACTCCGGTACCCAGCGGAGACTGACCTACTTGCATCTTATTGGACCCAACACCCTTTCCCTTAAGCCTTCTGCACTTTGGATAAAAGGTCAGTTTGCTAATTGCTAATCCTTAGCCAGAATCTTCATTGACTGTTTGTGGCTTTTGCTAAGCCTTAGGAAGACTGTGTGAAAAGCGAGCGACATGCAACATGACAACCAAAGCCGTTCCGCTCTGTCTCCAGCCCGTCTCTTTTTGCCTTCGTCAGCACCTATACAGAGCCAAACTGCAGCTTGAAGCTGTTCAAGTCGACCCCAAAAGCTGTTTTTCTCATCACGTCTTTACACCTTGTGATTATCCCATTTATGTCTTGCACGGATTGACATTTGACTCTGAAATCATACACTATCTCCCATCTGTCATGTTAATAATGTGTGGTAAGCTCCTTGAAGCAGCCCCACATCATTACCAAACCTCTTCAGTGTGCTCGCCTCCTTGTAAGGTCTGATCTCCATGCTTAAATACAGAGCTACCACAGTAAGGGATGCTGCAGATGGGCGTAATGCAAGCCTGTTTTTATATATAAATAAATAAAGTAAAGTTTCACCATAGCTAACAGTTTTCCCCTTTTTGCACAACCTACGTTAAAGTTTAAGTTCTGGAATCTCGTTTTGACCAGTAAACGTCTGTTTGTGGGGCCACAGGCGGTCACAACAAGACAAAGCAGTGACTGGGACAAAAGACTGAACAAAGTTCTCCATATATATTAAATTGTGAGGACATCTCTTATCCACTGCTTCCTGAGACCTTACTGGTTTTCTGTCTGATTTAGTCCTGGATCATCCAAAACATTAATTTTACCTTCATGAAATTGTTGTTTTTGCCAATTTGGACGTGTGCTCAGTCTCTTTTTCTAGTCCTTGGGTCTAAAACCGAATGGTGATCGTATTTTAATTCCATCATACTGAAAAGTAACCCCAGATCACACATGCGGCTACCATGTTTCCATCCATCTTTGTACCCATGGTCGCAAAGGCAAGAGGTTTAGGAGGGAGACCCAGACATCTGTTTCCCCAGCAACATCCTCCAGCTCATTCTGGGGGATCCCAAGGCGTCAGATGGGATAAATGGTCCCTGTAACGAGTTCTGGGTCTTTCCGGGGGGTTTCGTCCCAGTGAGACGTGGCCAGAAAACCTTCATAGGGAGATGCCCAGGGGCCCTCTTGATCCACATCAACTGACTCCTTTTGACGCAGAGAACCAGTGGCTTTACTTTGAGTTGGCCCCCAACTGTTGGAGCTCATCAACCAATTGATGAGGCTGAGTCCTTCCACCTTTCAGAGGAAGCTCATTTGTATCCAGGATCTTGTTGTTTCGGTCATGACGCCAAGCCTTTCTGCAGACAGCTTCCTTCATGGACAACAAGGTTGCAATTTGTCCAGGAGCTTTTAGCCATTTGACAGGAAGAAATTCTCAAAAGTAATCTATGGGGTATGAAAAACAGGATAGTGGAAGCAGACTAGTTCATGCAAAATATCGTTGCAATCACACAATACACAAATGGTTCGACCCAGGCCTTGTGCCACGAAGGGGAGGTGGACGCTTCCCTGCAAACAAAGTCATGCAGTTTTTGTCACGCATCTGAGAACCAATTTCATCACTTCGGGTCAAGCGGAGGAGCCGACTCTCATTCTAGCGGCTCAACACTCAGCAGTGAACGACAACAGGACCACATGAGGTCCTGAGGTTCCCAAACTAGGCGCACTTGTCTCCATGGTTACGCTTTATTTGCTCATTTGCAGTAAAACGCCTTTGTCTTGCAGTCCTCCGTAGCCCACATACATGGAGAACACTACAGGAGCTTGACAGAAATTAAATCATGTGTTTTCACCAGTTTTTGAGAACCCTTTGGTTCTTGTAAGATCTGAAATTCTTGAAGTCTAGTTAGAAAATGGAAGAAATAAAATGCTTTTTCTTGCGTTTGGACCTCCTTAGGGCAAGCAGAAAAACTACAGTATATGGACTTGTTAAAACTGAACTGAGATATTCTACACTAACTAGAAATTCAATTTTAGACCCGTTATTGTACCAGTGAAAACAAAAGTCTCATCCCTTTCATGTGAACCCGGCGTTTCACATTGTCTTCACTTGTACCATCATCGTTACACCCTCATTAGTTTGTTATATCCGAACCAGATTTTGTGTCGGTGCTACTTTCTCATCATCTCTGCCGTTTGTGTTTGGTACCTCACCTCAGTCCCAGCTGGAACAAGGGTCACCTCTGTTGTTTAGGATCTTGTGGGGCAACATCTGCTCAGCAGCCGTGTGGCCTCACAGTTATTGATGCTTGTTTGGGTTGCAGCCATGCCAGCTCCCAGGCAGCTAGCTGGATGTTATCAGTAGCCCCTTTTACTCCAGCTGATTTTCACCTCTGATAAAAGGAATCTGTGCAGAGCGAGCTCCTGACAGATGATTTGTTACTGATTGCAGATATTTGATTTATCCAATTGCCCTCACGCCCCTAGAGTGAAATTCTATAATTTAGGGCTTTGGAAAACGTAAAATTCACAGTACTTGGCAAAGATTAGCCGATAATAATTTGGACCGTGTGAGTAACTTACTGTAATCCTGACTTTACAGTTGAAGTGGTTTGAACAGGTCTGGTTATTTCGAAATTACAAAAATTACAGATCTAGTGACAGATGCTGCTGCTGTGTGACCCATGTGTTAAATCATTCTGATGTATTCAGTGCTGCAGAAAACTCCTTTAATTTCACCCAGTCTTTTGTTTATTTAACCTTTAGAAATGCAAAAAGTATCTGGAATTGATTAAAATTCATAATCATATTGTTTTTTTTATTTACAATATTAATTTAGTTTCAGATTTAAGTAATGTGAGATTAAATAATTCAATATTTAGTTTCTTGAAATATGTAGTTCCAAATTAAATATCTGGAGCTAAGCAATATGGACAAAAATTTCACAATATATTCTTGTGCATTGAGCTGTTTGATCATTAATTATTGTAGCATAATATAGTTTCAAATTAAAAGTTTAGTTTCAAAATTAGTATCTATTTCAGTACAAATTTAAAGAACAAAAGAAAATAAATTGTAAAACATAAATAACTTATCTTAAAAAAATCTTCACAAGCCGAACATTGAATTTCCCTTGAGTTGAAGGAATTAATAGTAACATACTTTATCAAATAACAATATATTAATGTACAAATCCTATTTGGAGGAACTACTGTTTTAGTCTGGCAATCCACTGGACGGCTATGAGTTTAGCTGTTCCCTCAAGGAAAAGACATTTGCCTGTCTGCACTGTCGAGTACAACGTTTGGTGTGAGGCTTTCTGTCAGGAATTAAGCTTAGACCTTTAGCATATCAGGACATTTTAGGACAATTTCATGTCCCTGACTTTCTAAGAAGAGTTTAGGGGAAACCTCTTGCTGTTGGACCCTGACAGCACACCACTGCACAAAGCAAGGTCCATCAAGATATGGACAAATGTGTTTGTGGAATAATTTGACCAGCCTTCAGAGTCCTGACCTCAACTCAATGGAACACTTTTGGGATGAATTAAAGCTTAAAATTTATGCAAAGCATCGTAATCCAACATCGGTGTCTTAATAATTATTCAGGAATAAAAAAAATTGCTTGTAAATTTCTCCTTTATTTCTCTAATTGGTGTTAAAACAATATGTCTACTACTGTATCTGTTTCTGTTGAGTTCAAATTGAGTTAAACTTGTTCATAACTCCGAAGCCAAACCTTGGCTCTTATTAGCGGCAGATCAAAAAGCCGTTCTGAATCGTCCGTGGATGGAGCTCAGCACATAACAGTCAGGTCTGAAAGCATTTCTTCGATGTATCACTTCCTGTTTTCCTTTCCCAGGGCAAGAGCTGCTCCGAGACTAGTGTCTGAATGAGTAACCATGATGGTATCCATGGTGCTGAGGAAAACCTCTCCTCCTGGCTCCTGGGCCTTCTGGGCACCAACCACTGCATCTGTTACTGCCCAATAACAATGGCTGTTAAGTCTCCTCTCATCCTTAACCATCCAATCAGAGAAGCCAGGAAGTTGCCCGCTCTCTTGTTTTGTTTTGCCACAGCCAAAGTCAGCGTAGGTCTCCATGTTTGGGATGGGATTAGCTAAGAAGGAAGAATTGACTTGGGTGTGCAAATTTGCTTAGGAGTGTCTGAGCATATTCATACATTCACTAGATAGAAGTGGGAGTTTATCTTTTTTTTTTTTTCCAGTGGAAAGAGGATTAACATTTGCACATATATTTCAGCTCCCACCCCCACATAGTGTTTAAATAGGTTAAAGCAGAGGTTCCCAAACTGTGGGGCGCGCCCCCTAGGGGGGGCGCCGTGTCATTGCAGGGGGGGCGCGGGAAGCCGTCTGGATAAAAAAAAACATGAACACTGTATGCGCTGGGTTTTTACCTTAGAATGGCCAACTCTCTGTTATTCCTATGTCAATTTGATACAGTAGAGGCTTCCACACTTCCCATATTTGTGTCCTCTGTCACTTTTATCAGCAGTTAAAACTGTTTAATCCGTTGTTAACATGTTGTAACCTGTTTTTCCGAGGCAGAAAATGTTTGGAAACCACTGGGGGGGCGCAGAAGGAAAAGATTGGGAACCACTGGGTTAAAGCACTATGATTGGGTGTTGTAGAAAAACTTGCAGATAATACTTCCTCTTTATATGGATTCAAGGCCGTCCAAGGTTGGACAATGCTGTCTTAAAATATCAAATGCCAATCAAAGCTCAGAAAAGTGTAGAAAGTAACCGACTGGACTTGCTGTTGGAGGATAAAAGAAACACAAGCTGTGAAAGGTCAGTTTAAAGAATAGTTTCAATCTTCATTATGTTTAAAAGTTAGCTTCCAGTTTCAGCTTGACTTTGTCTTGTTATTAATGTACCGTCTTTACATGCAAATCAAAGTCATTTCAATGGATTTTGGATTTATCCGGCACATGTTGACTGATCACATGGACGAAAACAGAGATGCACAACAAGGCAATCACGCTCTCATTTCATTTATTTAAATGTCTCAAATTAATTTCAAATGAACGTTTTAGAATAATGAGAAACAATCAGAAACAAAACAAAAACAAACCACAAATCTGGAGAACATCTGAAAACTCCACACAGAAACACGCCGGCCAAGATCTGAACTGGCAACCTCTGAGAAGGAAAAGATGAGTCATTTCATATCAGCTTAGGTCTTAAGTCTGTCGTATGTTTGGGATGGCACTCTTTCAATCTGTTAAGAAGCATGACCAAGCGAGAAGTCCTTGTCGACATCATGACTACAAGCCTTATGGACACAGAGCAAGAAGAGCCTGTTGATGTCATGGCTATTAGCCTTAAAGGCAAAGAGGCATTGATCACATCATGACCATTAGTCTTACAGGCAAAAAACAAGGAGAACTTGTTGGTGTCATGGCTGTTAGCCTTAAGGACACAAAGCAAGAAGCACTTGCTGGAGTTTTGTCTGTCCGCATTTTGGACACAAACTAAGTATTTGTTGCTGAAATTCTACTTTAAGACCTAAAGCAAGTTCTCCATGTTTGTGTCATGACCTGATGTGTTGGTTAAGGAAGGACGAGTCGGCATACGGCTACTTTACCTGCAACTTTTCATGCAGTTAACTGGATTGCTTAATAATACTCATGATGAGATTGTTGGCACTGCAAGGCCAATTGTGAAAGGCCAAGAAACCTTTTAGGTACCTGGATCACAACAAGCTGAAAGAATCAATCTAGGACCGACCAATAGGGCAGAGGTCATGCAGGTGTGATTCTCTGTTGCTGCGTTCTGATGGACAGTACGGTCTAAACAGCATAATGAAGAGAAACTGAGGCTCTTGATAAATCTGGCGTTACATAATCTCAACGCACTTTTGTGACCCTACATGAGGATCAAAAGGAAATGACAGAAAACAAATTGACTAGAGCAGCTTTTATGTTTTATGTCGACCCAATGATTTTCCCGTCAAAGAAAAGTAACAGTCTGAAGTTCTTCCCTATGCTTCATGCAAATGTTTCCAATACAACTCGGCCACAGAACGTTTCTCCCTCACGCATTTAGCTATTTATTTAGCGAGGCAGTCCAGAGCTTAATCCATCAAGCCTTAAATCGTAAACCTAATTCTTTGATTAGTGGAGTGCCAAATACCGTTAACCATGTGCGGTGCATGTGTGCAGAGAACTACTTCAATATGCAAATTTTGCTTTCGAGACATCCCCAGAGACTCGGTGGGAAAAGTTTCAATAGAGAGGAGAAAAATTGAGTTTGTAAAACGTTGCATAATTTGAGTGATTTCTTTAAAAACCAAAAACGATTCATGCTCATTGGCAGAGCACTGTTGTTTGACATTAACAGCAAAGCAGATAACTCTTCGCTCTGGTTTTTGACACTTCTATGGCTCATAATGTCACTTGATTATTTATCTGTTGAGATATTTTGATATTTTATGGCTGCACCCAGCAGAATTAAGAGTCAGTAAGAGACTCTCGGTCCAACATTTACTCAGGCTTCTCGCGCTCACTTTTAAATGAAATGCAGCTGTGCTTTCTGCACGGTGTTCTGCTGGAGCGTTGACCGGGACCTGCCCATCTGAATTTTTGTTTTCCCACACATGGTCAGCAGGCTATTTGTGCAGGGTCCATTTATTGTGCCATTTGTGTCATGTCTCATGCTTTGAAGGAATGTAAAGACCAACAAACACCAGCTATTCCTGCGTGAGGTCAACCTGCTGCCGTTCAGCGTACCTCCAGGGAAAACTCTACCTGGTGCAAAGGAATGATGGAAGGAATGCCGTCCAGCTGCATCCAGAAAACTTATGTTGTGTGGAAAGCCAGAAAAGAAAGGGAGTTTAAAGTGGTTTAGAAATGGGGAAAAAGAATTATCTGCTTGCCGATGCCACTGCCCTGTTACCATCATCCTGGTGTTCGGAGCCACCAGGGTTAGCTGATCAATAGACCTCAGGGAGTGAGATGGAATGTAAGGCGGGGTGAAGCACAAACACTCACATCTGTTTGCCAGAAGGAGAACTTTCACATTTCCACTTGTCTCTACATCTATTCAACTCCAACAAATCACGCAAGAACAGTTTAAATAGTTTAATGACTTTCTAATTCAATTTCAAAGCGAGTAGTGGAGTCTTGCTTTAAAAATGATTCAATCCATCCTATGTGAAATATACGGCTAAATCAAGAAAACCATCTGAAAAGTTTAGAAAAAAAACAGATCAATGTTTTGGATGCAGAGGTAAAAGGATACAAAAAGAAAACCGAGGCCCTGAGGTTTCAGTTTTCACAGTTAGATACTGAACACTCCAGCGCTCTGTGCCACTACTGACACCAAAACAGAAGAGGAGCCGGCTCCAGTTTGCTCCCAATTGTACGTGTTGATGCCAAAAAAGGGTTTGAGGATTTTGCTCAGTGGAACGATGAAATGAAAGTGGAGCCGAACTCAAGACGGGGTCAGTCTAGTATCTGGAAACCCTGGCAGAACGTGTCGCTGTCTGTAAGCACAGAAGCTGCAGCTCCACCAAGTTCTACGGATACCAGAGTGGCTGTCATGGTGGGAGAGACTACTGAAAAATCACAGGCCGGTTTGATTGTCAGCAGGGGGAAATCAGGACACTTTTTTTAGTTTGTAAAGTTTTTTTGAGGGGTTTCTTGATATTTTTTTTTAGATTTTTTGGGTCTGATTTGAATAGCAGGACATGTCCGATGTGAGTGACTTTTGGAAACTGAGTTCCACATACAGTGAGCTTTTGTCTGTAGACTTAAGCTGGTAAAACAGATTGTACGTTACAGCTTCCTGCATGTATGTTAAACTTGTATTACTTGAATTTTCCCTTCATGAAAACATTTTTTCGGAAGAAACAAACCTTAATGTTTTTTTTGTTTGTTTGTTTTTTGTCTTCACTTTGGTCAATACCATCTATACATTTCTTGAATTTTCAAATGTTTTTTTTTTTTTTTTTTTTTTTTTTTTTTTTTGGTCCCCCACCCCCCAAAATTCCTTTCCCAGAAGTGGAGTTGTTGTCCCTTCCTTTTGAGAATCTCTGGGAGTCTGAGTGAGTCATTAAGTAGCCAAGCTACGGCCTTTCACAAGGCCCTCACTGTCCTGGAGGCCAGAGACTGGGGATAACTCAATTTGCCTTCTCCGACCAGCTCGCTCTGTCTCTCCCAGTCTTGTCTTCTGCTCAACTCCGTGCAAATGCAGAAAGGCATGGTGACGTAAGAAAGCAATTTACTTTAACGTTATGTAGACGTATTGCTGTCAACAGGCCAAAAGAAATAGCGTTGAGTCAAGGGGTTCATCTGCGGCACATACATGTGACCTCATGCTTCATGTCGCTGTAAAAATCTAAACTTGGGTTTTGCTTTTCGGTTTCCCAGGCGGAGTTCTCAGAGATCAACCTGGCCTCTTACGTCAACTCAGGATGCATGGTGGACATGCAGGTCAACAAGGGTGGCTCCAAAGTCATCAGGTGAGTTTTTAGAGGTAACGCTCAGGAGAGATGGTGCAGTTTTGTCAAGGAAAACAAAAAGAAAACAAACAAAAGAAGGAAAAAAACCTGAAAAATCACAGTTGGAGAATGAACTTTGTCGAGTTTCTGATGGCACAAATTATTTCTTCACTGTATCCAGTCATTTTAATATTACTAAGTGACTGGTCAGACTTTCTGGACCAGGACTTGACTGGTTCAGGTCTTACCTAAAGAACAGGGATTTCTTTGTGTCAGTAGGTAACTTCTCATCAGAGCAGACAGAAGTCAATACAAGGTTTAATCCTGGGATGTCTCTCATTTAACATCCACACTGGCTCAGGTTATCATAAGAAATTAGAGTAGTTACCATAGCTGCACAGATGATGCACAGCTCTACATTACGAGAGCTGTGTTCAGTGATTGGCTGAATGCAGCCAATCACTGAACAGAGGCTTAGAACAGATAAATGTGTGGATGTGCCAAAGCTTTCTTCAGCTGAACAGAAACAGAACCAAAGTTATCTTTGGACCTAAAGAGAAGAATCTAGAATCAATGCACACCACAACACATTAAAGGTCTGCTGTTGTTGTATCAACCTTCCAGATCTCTCAGGTCTTCTGATTCTGGTTCTGCTCTGCATCCAGAACCAGAACCAAACATGGAGAAGTAGCATTCAGCTTCTATGCACCACAAATCTGGAACAAACTTCCAGAAAACTGAACAGCTGAAACACTGAGTTCCTTTAAATCAAGGGCTAAAAACCCGTTTGCTTAGAGCTGCCTTTGATTAATAATAACCGGAATATTGATTAAGTCTACTCTTCATTATTGATGATTTTGAAAATGGCATTTGTGAAAATGTAATGTTTGCTTCTCATTTGCTGTTAATACTCACCATATACAATTATGTTATTATGTAAAGCACTTAACTTTCCTTATGGCTCAAATGTTCCATACAAACAAACCTGACTTGAAAACATTTGAGGTCAGTAATGGAATGAAAAAGCGACCAGGCATGAGCGCCATGCAGCCAGGAGAGGGACTGCTTTGTCTGGTGAGGTAACTGCTGAGAGAATCACAGATAAACAACAGATTCTGGTAGGAAAGATGACCTCATGGTGCTGCTTAATCTGAACGAGTGCAGCACAATATGCCAAACTGCAGTCGTCATGGCAATATCAGGGGTGTGCATTATTGCAGTTGCAAGTGGCCTGCTTGAAGAACCAAAATTTAGGATAAACTTTTAGTGCCGTCCATTTCCACACTTGACGTATATTTTTAGTGTTTGGGTTAATTGGTTTGTGTTTTACTGACGTGCATCATAACTTTAAAGCAGGTGGAAAAAGTGTTGTCTTTGCATTTAGTTGTAGGTGACTGTAGCTCTTCTTGTGCTAGCTGGTCTCTTTAAAACATGAAGAGATGAGATGAAACGATATTGGCTGAAATGACACACAGTACAGGGTTCTGTTCAGCTGAGCCGACATCAGTTCTCGTTGTCACAGTTGTGTGACAGAAGTTGCGTCTTTTTTTTTCTCAGCCTCAGGTCATCCGTCCCTTCTTGTCACAGCCTCCCTGGTGAACGTTTCGCCACCCTCTGCATGTGAAACTATTGTGAGTTTGGTCAGAATTTTGTGGGAATGTTTGTTTATGTGGAAAACAGACCAAACTACTCAACTTCCAGAATCCGTTTTTTCAGCCACAGAGCAGGATGGATAGTTTAGGGGAACAATTGTCTGAGGCTGAGAGGAAGTAAGTACTGTTGGACTAAAACACCGAACTCTTCCTGCTCTGTTCTGGTCCGATGCAGCGGATAAACATCCCACCAACACCTTCCATGTGTTTCCTTTGGGATTCCAGTAACATGGAAAATAAAATTTTGCAGCTCATCAATCATTATTTCCTCTGAATTTGTGAACTTGTAATAATGGTTCCTCTCTGCTGTCATCACTGTGTTTACTGATGTAAACCACCATTATGACCAAACTCCATGATGTAAACCGTAGTGGGAGGGGCTTCACAGGAGCTCGGCTCGGTGTGTTTTGACGATAAAAGGTGTGTGTGAAAACACACGTCCCGAAATCATGTGATTGATAATTGATGTTTGACCAAAGTCGAACAATTCCCTTAAGGGAACAGATTCCTGAAGGGAACTGTTGACTGTTTTTAGAACCACATTTTTCTCAATTTACTCAATAACATTATAACATGATGTCAAGCTCAAGAAAGCCTATTTAACATGATACTGCCCCTTTAAGCAGTTAATCTTACAGGGTTGGACTGTATTAGGTCTTCCCTACTCTAGCTAAAGTAGAGCATCCCTCTCAAATATGTTTGCAACACATTATATCTCAACAGTTAATAAAATTGGAGCAATGCTTCTCCTGCTGATTTTTAGGAGATTGCCTCAGCAGAAACATTTTAGCCTTTAGGAATATTGCTTAAATGTTGGATCTCAGCCTCAGAACCACCCAGTGACAGGAAGGGGCCTGACTGTGTCCTGAGGACAGTCGTCAGCTTGGGGATTCTGAAGCAGCCGCCTTAACAATGAAACCTGTTTCCAGCCCTGACACTGAGGTTATTGTGTGATATGGAATATTTTTTTCGTGAAATATCAGTAATGATAGAACAGCAAAATTGTATTCAGATGGTGTGACTGCTGCCTCGCTCACAAACACTGACGTTCACCGCCAAATTACTTTGCTTATCACTTATGACTCTGAACTGGTCTACAAATAGAATAATGGTCAATTCAAGCAGCCGGTCCCACCGGGACATGACTAATAACGCTTAGTGGTCCCACAGCTATAAAGTCAGAAGTTCAACTTCTAGAAGTTGCTTTTGTTTCCGTTTAGTTGCCGCGTTTCCTCCCAGAAAGAGCCGCAGGGGAATAGCTTGGATAAAAGAATTGGCTAAAAACTCAGCAGACCCTTCAGATCCTTCCCATTTCATAGATTATGTCCTAATTATGTCTGCGACAGCCGCGTGTTTCATTCTGCGCCAGAGGAATGCATAAACACCAGCTTCCCAAGCACAAATTAAACACACGCCATGTGATTGAGTTTTCTTTGAGTGCATGTGATCATTCTAGGATGGCACTTGCATACACTCACACACACACACACACACACACAAATGCCGGGTTTATTTTTTAAGCCATATTTAAAGCAGGCTCCTACTTTTCCACGTGTCTCCTGGCCGATGTGACCCTTGACCCCTCTGTGCAGACATGCTGCCCTGCGCTGGCTCCACCAAGCAGCTCTTGTTCTCACAGTTCTGTGGTTTCACTGCTCTCACACTTGTCCATGTGCTATGCATTGTAAAAAAAAGAATGTTAATGTAGTGTCAGAATACATTAGGGAGCAACCATGGTGGAAAGTAAACACTTGTTCTGTTAAGAATGATTAAAAGTTATCAAAAAGAAAATGGCATTAAGTGAAAATATTATGTACTGTTGATATTTTATGAAATTGCACTTTTGGTTTCAGTGTCACTAGACAAACTCACACTCTGATGTGGTGGATGGGGGAACAAAAATACTGAAACCCAACCTGACGCAGTGGTGGAGAAAGTACTCAAAAAATGTACTTAAGTAAAAGTACAAATACACAGGCAAAAATGTACTCAAGTAAAAGTCAAAGTACCACATTAACATTTTACTTAAGTAAAAAAGTACTGACTTTTAAAAATACTTAAGTATTAAAAGTAAAAGTACTTGCTGAATACATAACCTAATCGCTAATATCATTAAGTGTGCCGATAGTATTTAATTTGAATACATCATAAATGTGCCATTTTAATAAACAATGTCACAGATTAAACATGTTCTTATTGTGTTTATTCTCTGTAAGAGTTTAGACTTAGATATGTGATTCTATGCATCATAATATCAGGGATGGAAACATCTTATTTCCTGTCCTAACTTATTTCCTGTCCAACTGAAAGGGGATGGAATGAAGGTGTGGGGGGGAAGACATGCAATCGAGGAACCACGTAGCAGAGTTGTAGTCAAGACCACCGAACCCGAGACCAAGACCAGCGCCCTGCGCTACA